TGGAGGTCAAAAGCGCACTTATTTAAAAAAAAGTTTTTGAGGAAGATCGGAAGCATTAAATACTGGCTGATGCTTTTGTGGTGCTGTATCATATACTAAATTTTATTCTACAAAACCTGTTATTGGCTGTACTATTTTAAGGTTTACTTTGTATATTTATGATATTGTAAACGCTTAAAAAAAGAAAATTACTGTGAAAATATAAATAAATCAACAGAAAGCCAAATTATCAAACGAGTGAGAATTTGTATACTACAGAATGGGACACACTGTGCATTTGATAACTTAAATTGATTATAAGTTGCAGTTAAATATATCTAATTATTTTATATTATTTAGAATAAAACAATCATTATGACTGAGGCTTTCGATCTGTATAGTAAAATTACAGGTGTTTTATTTAACATTTGGCGAGTTGGAATCCCGGTTAAGACAGGCGATTATTTAAAAATCTTTGGATGTAGTTGGAATTGTTTTTAAAATCAAAATGAAGTCTATTTCAGTAAAATTTTCTATTTACGGCATTTAAGCTACTTTCGGTCCGTGTGGCGTAGTCGTGAGACACACAGTATATACGACTTTCATAATCTTTAATAATTATTCCTTGATGTCCTTCACTTTTCAGTTTAGCGAAGAAGACAAACTACCCCAACGGCTATGTGTAGAATGCGCCTACAGACTATTCAACTGCAGCAAGTTCAGATGCAAGTCTCTTCGAGCTCACTCTTTGATGATGGAATTAGTGAACAGACACGACATTGTAAGTATTGCCATAATTGAATCGAGATCCAAATAATTTATACCTCTGTAACGTGTTAGTAGCGACACCTGGCGAGCTGGGTTACTTAACACTACGCCACGGCGTTACTTAACTGGTACGTAGTAAACTTGCTAAGTGGCGTTATTAATATAAATATTAAACTTATATTGGAAATACCTAGAGGGCGCCCGGTCAATGTTTAAAAGGCGAACCATACTCTCTAGTTTTCTTCTCTCTGACTCAATACGATACGAAATCATCTTACCTATTTCTGCCGCAGTAATAAATAAAAAATGTCAGTATTACTGTGTGTTTTGAAGGGTAAGGATGCTGGTGAAATACAGGCAGCTGACTTGTCAACTGATGTCTCAGGGTGACCTTTGCGATTTAAAGCTCTGAGTGGCACTACAACTGTTATGGACAGGCGTGTAGCTTACCATCAGGCGCACGACTTGGTCGTCCCGTCACTTAATAAAAATATCTTTTGCAGCTTCAGTGAGGTTTAAAATTAAAATTTAAAATTTTATTTCACACAACAAGCTTTATAATTTGTTAGTAATAATAATAAGTGAAAAAGTTTATTAATTAATGTTAGTAGATATTTTATTATAAATCACATCACTTGACTCACGAACATCTTGTATATAACCAGAAATAGAGACGAAATGTCATTTAATTTGTTTGAAACGATTCTGCCATATCTTGACTGTGACAAGTGCGCTCCGATTGGCCAGCCCGAGTTCGAAACAATTGACGGGTGTCGTCAACTGTTTCTCTTCAAATCGACTAGTTAACTTGAGCTTTGCTATAATGGATGGAAATTGCAAAATTACATATTTAATATTTAATTACCGATGCAATGTGATTTCGTTTGTTTTGTAATTAGATGTCATGCTGTTTTTCCCACACCACCGAATAGAGCAGCACGGCATTTGTTAGAGATATTATCTTTATTACAATAAACAGAATATTTTTTGGAATGTACAGAGACGTACACATAGGTCAGTTGTTGGCCTGTCTATATTTCAGCGCAAACGACAGTTCATATTTATAAGAGTTGTATCGCTAATGTGTTACCAGAAATATATGGCCCTTATTTCGTCTCTATTTCTGGTTATTGGGAGAAGTAATCCTTCCATCTGCACAGTGTGTAAGATGCTGTTGGGGCTGTCTTTTTCAGGAGATTGGCAGTAAAACAATCCGACTCATATTGTGAAAACTTTTTTGTATATTTTATGTGTAATTATAATGTCTTACGCTAAGGTATAAATTTCAATGCTCCGAGGCGGAGAGAGAAATGGACCGCAACATTCCGAGATCGGTCTCAACAGCGTTGCAATTTATACCTTATTTCAATTGAAATCGAGCAATGCTCGGTATTTCTCTACGTGATCGTATCAGAAATGAGGATATCCTTAGAAGAACGAAAGTCACCGACATAGCTCAAAGGATTAGCAGGCCGTTGAGGCAGAAAGGTTCTCGAATGGAAACCACGAATCGGAAGCCGTTCAATGGGACGGCCCCCTACTAGTTGGACGGATAACCTGGGGGTCGATTCAGAACTTTACGATAACTCAGTTGTCGACCGATTTTTGATTTCTTTTCATTTTTATTCACAACACCCGAATCGAACGTCAAACTGTCGTATTCGAAACCGAACCGAAATGACGTCACACCCGTACGATTATTCGAACTTCTCGACCGGCAAAGGCTACAAACGTTATTCAGAACGCAGTTATCGAATGAAAGTTACCGAACGTCCTATTGTTTACAAAGCAAGAATGTAATATGGAAATATCTTAGTATTTTAAATAAAGTCTGGATTTTGTTCAATTTTATTAATTTATTTTAATGCAAGGCTAATGCATTTCTATACTTTAGGCCCTTAAAGTCTTAAACATGTATATAAAAGGATTTTAATTTTTCTTATAATCTATTTCACCGACTAACTCCGTAAACGCTCTTGGATAACGATATCGTATCCGAATCCGAGTCGAACTTTTAACTCGGAATGTTCTGAATGGCTCGGAAAGCGCCCTTCGATTAGGTTAAAATATCGAAGAGTTCTGAACCGGGGTACAGGTAAGGGTGGCGGTTAACCGATGGATGCAAGTCGCGTCTGACCGGTTAGTCTGGCAATTTTTGGGGGAGGCCTATGTTCAGCAGTGGATGTCATACGGCTGATATGATGATGAGCTTTAAACGTACATTGGTAAAATTAATGTCCTTTGCCTTCCCGTTCGCCGGTTCGCGCTGGCTCTTATTTTAATGACGCTGTCTTTTGCAGTTAACAATACCAGTTATTAACACAATAGACAGAGAATCGAACCAGTTAACATCACAATTACAACTAAAAAACTTCGAAATTGATCACTGCGATTTATACATAGAATTTAACGAAACTAAAGCAGAACATTTGGAGCGACACCCTGATTTTGATGCCATAAATGTAGATGTTCGGGTTAAAAATGAAGACAGTGACATTTTTATTAATGAAACTGATTTTCAACAAGATATCGTACAACCCGAAAGCGTTCCTGAAAGCGTTAAAGACGAATCCAATCTAAATGAGCCTAACACGATGTCAGATGTCGGCTTCACATCCGACGATAGCTTACCTCTAGAGGTATCGAGGAAGAAACCCAAAAACCGGAAAATAGAAAAGAAGGAAACCGTAAAAAAAGTTAGAAAGAGATCGGTAAAAAAAGATTGCAATGAACCTAAAATCGACAGGAGACGCAAACCTTTTTTGAATGAAGATTTAAACGAAACTTTGTTTACTATAACCGATTTAACGTTTGAAGAGCAAGTGGCCGAGATTGAAAAGAGACAGGAAAGTGCAAATTACAAAAATTCAGTTTTCAAATGCACAGAGTGTTTTAAAGGATTTCTCGATGAGGATGCCTATAATGGACATATGAGTCGGCATACAGATGTAAGTATATATTGCAATAGAATAGAATTTAATAATTTCATGTTATCAGTGTCACAATATTGCAATTCATAATCTCAGTACAGTGTACTAAAAAAACCGACCTCAAAGGTCATTCGTCCCCTAGTTTGCCACCTTTAGAGGTAGAATATTTTCTTAAATTTTTATTGAATTGATATTCAATTATTTTTTGTGAAATTACTCCACTAGTTTGTTATAATTATTAATACAAAGATCGAACACTCAGAAAAATTCCTTCGATCCGGTCGGATTCGAACCGACGTCTTCTTGCATACCGTGCCAGACGCTATACCAACTAAGCCACGGAACGAACCAACTCAATCCACCAAAAAAAGAATCACCAAAATCGGTTCGCCGGAGTTATGGCGTAACATACATAAAAAAAAATAATGAATAAATATACATATACTTGACAGATCTGTTTTTTTTGTTTTCCTTCGCTCCGCATGGAACAGGCGAAAGTCAGAGACCATACGCCTAGTCATTAATGTATTCCTTTTCCTCTTGAGTTATTGGTTCATGATTTAAGGAAATTAATATGAATGATGTTTTAAAATGCCCTCCACTCTTAATTTTTTTTTAGCAATGCGGCGAATATCAATGTGACATCTGCAAAACTCACTTCAAGCACCAGCACGCTCTACGTAAACATATAACAGCTCACCACACGCAGAGGTTTAGTTGCAACCAGTGCCCTTATGTCACTACACATAGGTGAGTTCGTTACTACCCATAAATAAGTTCGTCATTTATCGAGTTCTTAGGTTAACTTCATCACTTCATATAATCTTAAGCTCATGAAACCATATATAAGGTATATATATATATATATATATAATATTAGAAAAAAGATAGGCATACTTCGACCTCCTTCCGCGTTTGGTAAAATTAAGACAAAACTAATTGAAAAACAAGTTGGAATTTTATCGCCAATTTACAGCTACACACGAGTTAACGGTGAATGTCATGATATATATTTCTAAATTACTTCAATCAATCAATCAATCAATACTTTATTGCATTTTCTACAATGTTTTACAGGGTGGTAGGTTTAATTTTTGACAGATCATTGTAGACCCTGGATAGGGCACAGCAACCTGGTGAGGAGGACATACTTATAATAATAAATTAATCTTTCAAATCATTATCCTGAATAAATTCTGAAACATCATAATAACATTTTTCTATTAGCAGTCTCTTTACTTTAAAAAAAAATATTATGTCGCTTTTCTCATCTACTAACGACCTTGGTAATTTATTATAAATTTTGAGCTTATTCTCAATTTATTATCATGCCGTGATGTATAAAATGTAGCAATATCTCTTCGCCTACTGAAATATTCTGGACATTTGCGTACGAATTTGCATGCCTCTAAAATGTAAATACACGGAAGGGGAAGTATGTCTAGTTCTTGGAAGTATGGTTTGCGACTGTCGGTTTCGGCAATATTGACAAGTATTCTAAGGAGCTTCTTTTGTGCAGTAAATAGTGTTGTCTACACTACTTCCCTATAAGATGAGTTTATTACTTTTATGGGTTTATTGGATAAACCCCTCAAAACGGGACGGAACAAAATCTACTTCTCCTTGTAACTCTCGGGGGTCGATTTAGAACCTTACAATAACTCAGTCATCGACCGATTTCTTTTCATTTTTATTCACAATACCCGAATCGAACATCAAACCGGCGTATTCGAAACCGAACCGAAATGATATCACACCCGTACAATTACTCGAAGTTCTCGACCGGCAAAGGCTACAAACGTTATACAAAACACAGTTATCGAATGAAAGTTACCGAACGTCCTATTGTTTACAAAGCAAGAACGTATTATGGAAATCTCTTATTATTTTAAATAAAGTCTGGATTTTGTTCAATTTTATTATTTTAATGCAAGACTAAAGCATTCCTATATTTTATGCCTTTAAAATCTTAAAAATATCAGAGGATTTTCATTTTTCTTATAATCTATTTCACCGACCATATCCAAATCCGAACTCGAATGTTCTGAATAGCTCGGAAAGCGCCCTTCGATTCGAGAACTATACAATCGAACGATTCGGTTAAAATATCGAAGAGCTCAGAATCGGGTTCCTGAGCCCCTTCAATTAGATTACCTAGTTTCTACTCAAAGGTAACTGCTTGTCTATACACAGGTGAGTTCGTCTTTTCATATTAGCAAATTCCTATCATATTTATAAATAAGTTCGTAAGTGAATGCGCCATTACAATTTGTATGTAGTGACGAATTCATATAAATACACAATTGAGCGACGTGCAAACAATACTCTAGCCCATGGGTTCCCAAAGTTTTTGGCTCACCACTCATTTAGGCAAGATAAAAAAATTTCAATGCCCACCATTGTTTGGACTTACTTACAATTATATGGACGTCGGGTCCGCGCTAAAAAGTGTCCGAACTTATAGGGCGTTAAAATCGTATACAGAGCGTCATTCACGCTCTAGTCTTCGTTTGTTCGACTAACAGCGAAGCAAGCAAAATTAGACAGTACTGCGATGACATTACAATTTAAATTCAACGTTTTAGCTTTTTCATATTCCTTGACATGTCACTACGTTTAAATAGGTTGACTTGGGACATTTTTTTCGTGGTTTTTGTATTAGACCCGTCGTCCATTTATTTGTAAGTCAATGATGCCCACACAAAATAATTGAAAACATGCAGTTTTTATTTGAATATAACACAAAAAATCACAAGGAGAAAATAATATACCGGGTGGCACAGAACGACCGACAAAGCCGAAAACCGTGAAGAGTCTTAAATATGTACTTAATTGTAATGAAAGTCTTTTTGCTCTAAGTGTAATAGTTTCCAAGTTATTCAATGATAAAGATTTGCTTGAAAAGTCTGTATTGTCAACCCTACATCATAAAACACAGCTGTTTGGAGGCAACTACAGGGAGGTACTCAGGGCAAAAAACTTTGTAATTTAATAGGTCGCTGACCTCTGTCGTTGATCAGCACCCCATCAGTCGCTTTCTTTGATCAATCACTTTGTTTGATCGGTCATCATGTGAATCGTGATTAATTATGCGGGTATTTTATTGTATTATTTTGAGAGTAATTAACACCCCTAAATTCCGTGTTTGACGACCCAATATTTACATTTACCGAAAAAATGCACCTCTCATAGAATCTTCGGGAGACATGTTGTTTCGAAACTATGCGTTGTTATAAACTACCTACAACAATTTAAGAAAAGTAAAGTTTTCTAAATGATTCTGACAGGAGTTCAACCATGTTTTCTACGTCATAAGATAAGACTAACTTAAATAAACATAACTAAATTAAGTAAACACGTTCTACAACATGTGTCAAATACTCAAATTACAAGTCTCGTAACCCTTAATCCGACCCTAACGTAAAATAGTAAATTGAGGCAGCCAATCACGTCGCTTAGAGATGCACATTTGATACCTGTTATCTGTTTTTGGCAGCATAATTGGGAGATCGTTTTTTTTGTACTAGTCTATTTTTCAATGCATTTGGAAATCGTTTTAATTTACAATACAAGAATTTACTAACTTTAAAACGAAGAGTTCATTTTAATGAGATCAACATTTAAAACGAAAATTTCTGTTAACTTGAGATGAGTAGTTGAAATTTTAATAAATGTAATGTAAAAATAAATAAATCGGTTCTTGGAGGCCTGCAGACCACCTCCACGGTTCGTTTTCTTATTTTTGAGTATCGATTATCACATTGCTAAATTTGATTATTTATTACAATTCATTAAGCGACCTGTACTTACCTTACTTTTACTTTTGAATTGCTCATGGTACTTATACCAGACAAGACGATTATTGCGAAACCTATTTCTTTATCATAATTGTCTTTTTAAAATTAACATTTAGATATTAGTAATCAATGATACCCGATGCGTACGCCGCCGCTGCGCGCATCTCTATGCAGAGTTGCCAAGTAAGAAACTTTGTCCCTTTATGTGACGATTTGACATCAAATGCGTTTTTTATTTTTAGCGACAAAAAAAAATTTGGTATTTATTGGTGCGTGTTTAATTAGGTTTAATCGTTTAAAATTTTATATTATTTTTATCTTAGTATTCAGGAGTCTTTTGCCTGTACTGTGACCATTCTGTTTAGTGATATTTGCTTTAGTCTAATTGGTAACACTTTTTCATTCATAAATTAGTTCAAAATGCCTGGTTGTATGGTAACTCGTGGTCTCATGTTTTTCTCGTGTTTACAACACAAAACAACGTTTACTTATTAACTTTTGGGTTGTGACAGCAACTTATTGGAATAGTGCTGTTTATAAGTAGTGTTTGTGTTAAGCAAGTAAAGTGTATTAGTGTGTTTGTGTGGAAAACCACATTGGCGTGTGACCGGCACACCCAGGAATGTGTCTGAAATGTCTGAATGTCAGCAAGAGTAAAGGGGACGTGGACAAATCGAACATCCTTTTAATTTAAAGTAAGTTCAATGTTTTTTAATTACCTATTCAAGTGAGTACACTTATTTCTTCTGCGAGTGCCAATGACACGAACGCCGCCTGTGGGGCAGTAGATGTACTAACACGATTGATTCGCGTAGGGTTGTTGCACCGCGAAAAGTTTAAATCTGGACGGACATTTTCCAACTGCTCTGATTTTACTTTTAAAGTAAATAAAACTCATGTACTTATGTAGGGTTCTTAACGTGATATTTTCGGCTTTGTCGGTCGTTCCGTTCCACCGTGTATATATGTAGTGTAGTTTATATAGATAATTCAGTGTTTTTTTCAAATGCGGTAGCATCCCCTGGCCTGCATCAATACTCTTCAGGGCCCACTGGATAGGGACCACTTTGGGAAACTATGCTCTCGCCAAATTCAATGTCAATCTCATTTATTCATTGCAAAGGTTAACAAATTACACGTGAAATAGTCAAAGAAGGATGGTGAAAGCTGACCCAAAATCAACGAAGAGATTGAACCTTGAAGTCATGTCTGTAATATATCTGGTTCAATAGATAATAAAAATTACCAGTAATTAATTATTTATAAAATTGTGCCATCCCTAATGATTTTTTGATATGAAGGGAGAGATTGCAAACCTTCGAGTAGTAATTTAAGTTCAGAATCGAAAATTGACGCTGGATGTGTGTTATGTAATAATAATAACCCCGCACTAGGGAAACCCTGTATCGCGGGTTCCATGGACACACACATAAATAGCCACAAATTACACCTAAACTCACGAAAGAAATAAATGTAGGCCACATTATTTTTCTTCGGTATCCGTCTTACTATAGCCTTTTTCCACTCGGTGGGGAAAGTGTTACTTTTGATTGGCTTATTTACTATCGCTGTGATGATTGGGAGTGTGACATCCAAGGTTGCTGTAATCATTTCAATATTCAAGCCATCGTGTCCTGCCGCTTTAGTTTTAATGCTGTTGAGTATTTTATTTAGTATTTATGTTTAATACTTCTGTCTCAGTGGTCAATTGCAAATCAAAAATTCCGTTTATGTGCTTACTATTAAAATTTGAATCAACGTTTGTATTTACGCTGGTCACCGGTAGAGTAAGATAATGGTCATTTATTTTTTCTGGATCATTACAGTGATCAGGAATCGAGTAGGTATATCCATTGTCAAATAGACAGGTGTTTTTGATATTTTTCCATAGCAACTGAGGTCGTTTCAGGTTATTATTTATGAAGTAGTCGTAGTATGCTTTTTTTCCCGCACTATTGTCGAGGTAACTAAGTTCTTTAGGTTGCGGTAGTACTCTTTCGTGGACTTTGTTTTCTTTTGCAGTGACGTTGCTTGAGCTCCATCTCGTAGTTTCATCATAAATTTGACCGTGACAGTAATCCAGGGTTTTGGCTTATCTCTATGAACTACTCGTTAAAGTGCATGCAGGTCAAATAAGACTAAAATATATACATTAAAAATTTGTACCATATCATCAACGTTCACTGCTTCCAGTACAATTTTCCAAGGAATAGCTCGCAGGTCCGAGTCAAATAAATCCCAATTGATATCCTTAAGAAAACGTTGATTGTGTGTTTGTTTCATTGGTTTATGCTGCCTAATATCAAATTCTACCACAACCATTGCATTGTCACTTACACGCGTGTTATGTATTATTTCAAGATTTCTGCATCGTGAGGAAATATCTGATATAACAATTTCTAAAATAGTTTCGATTGTGTCGGTAATTCTGGTTGGTTTATCGACTGGTTGCTCAACGCCAAGCTGTTCGCAGAAAGTCAGTAGTTCTCTTGTCTGTGTGAATGTGCATGCTTAAGATTGATATTCAAGTCTCTCATGATACTTATGTTGTCCCAGTACGCCATAGAGTTTGTAGACTCACAGAGCGCGTCCAGCGTATCTGTCACCTTTATACTTTCAGGTCTGTAAGCTGTACAAAGAGCTAGTGTTGCTCCGGGCAGCTTCACTTCAAGCCATAACTGCTCAAGCACAGAGGGCGTCCTCTGTCGCACTTTGGCAGTGATGTTTCGCTGTATATAAAAAGCAACACCACCACCAGACTTACCTTGTCTAGCTTTATGGACAAACCTGTATCCAGGCAGTGCAAGCGCTAGCATTTCTTCTCCATCCTTTAGCCATGTTTCATTGATGGCCAGAATGTCCGGTTGATAGTTCAAGGCGGTCACATTGACATTTTCGTGCCCTGTATTTAGATAACATCGAACATTCCATACCCCTAGTCGCAAACTATTGCGTCGTGAATTAGCCATAACAACCATCAGTACTAGAATTAATTACGATACGTAAATGGACGGTGTATATAATAAAAGTGAACGTGTAAGTGTTAGAAGTGATTAGGTGTAAGTGTAAAGTAGCTACTGATAAATGTGGTGTTATTGTTATAGTAGAGTCAGTGTATGTTGGATTACAATTTAAACAAGCTACATATTCATTGAAAAGCTTAGTTACAAATAAGAAGGTGGCACGGGGAGAACAGACAATTTCTATATCCAAACACTGAGCTTTCCAAAAACCTTAACAAATCTGCCTCGGAACGAAGTCGGTGGCGTATCTGTCCATGTTCTTGGCGTACAAAAATCTTTCCTTCACGCGTCTAAACATACCTGAAATCTAAGTTACGAGTCAGTATTCCGGCTATACGGAATATAATGCTTCACTTTCGAGAGCCGCTCATTGATGTAGATGGAGGTTATAGGATCAGGCAGCTGGAGACCCTCTGTGGTGATTTCACGGCGCATGCGCGCGGCCCCCAGTATCTCGTTCCGCGTTGCTCGATTTACTAAGATAATGACTATTGGTCACGAGCGCGCAGTTTTTGAGGTCTCCATTGACGTACGCGTTGAACCGATACGCACTGCGCTCACAAAGTCCCTGTTATCTAGTGTAACACCAATCTTCTTCGAAATAGCTAGAACTAGGTTAGCACAGTTTTCATTTCCTGTTTCTGGACAACCACTTATCTCCAAGTCATTGCTCAGTGAATCCTGTTCTCGATCAGATATATCTTCCTGGAGATGTAAAATTTTGTCTTCCAGAGTTTTTATACTTGAGCTTCCTTCCAACTTCAAAACTCTTGCTTCTAGTTGCTCTGTTCTAGAATTCTGTGCTTTTATAATGTCGGTCAGATTGCTAATTGCTTCGCTCAGACTGTTTGTCTGGACACGTATTAATTCAATCATATAGAGTTTCAGTTCCGTCATCATTGCGTTTTTAGAATCAGGACTGCCACGGCACTGCAGTGCGTCTGGCATGTTTCCGAAGCGCGAACAGATTACTTTTATACGCACTCTGCGTGACAGTGGCAATGGCAACCTGAAGATGTTTGCCCATCGTTTTTAACCGATTTCAAAAAAAGGAGGAAGTTCTCAATTCGATTGCATGTTTTCTGTTTGATTGTTCTTTTTGTATGTATGTTACGCGATAACTTTGCATTGTCAACCGATTTTGATGTTTTTTTTTTTGTTGGAAAGAGGGTACCTCAGTAAGTAGTGGTCCAACGGTGGCAAACTAGGGGATGAATGACTACTGAAGTCGGTTTTTTAGTGCTCTGTACTGATTACGACTGTACAATTTTAAAGTTTTCGGTGAAGATCATTACTGGTAAAATTAAGTAATGGTTTGTGCATTTTCCTAATTTTCATATTTTAATTTTTGTAGTTCTATATTTTAATTATTTATAAAATTTTCAAAATTCATTGCAATCATACTAACATAGCATTGAGATTTTCTTTGGCTATGGCCTGCAATAAATGGTTTATTATTATTACTAATTATTAGCCTACCTATTTAAATTCCAATTACGCGAGCAAGTCGTGAGTAGAGCTAGCCTAAATTAGCATTGACAAAAAAATGTTCTTTACACCTGCCATCGTTTTGTTATAATACATTCTATATCGAATTTGGCTAGAGTATAGATACGACATAGCTGCGGGAATACCCGAAATTGGAGGACCCGCGAAATGTTTTTAGGCTCGTATTTAGTTTGTACGTTACACAATTTGACATAAGGTTCATTATGTTATGGTTACGAAAAGCTACTTACTTATTGTTGCAGACAAACAGCGAGATTGCACGAAAGATGGCACAAAGGCACCAAATACCAATGTCCTCACTGTCAAGATGAATTTGTGTAAGTTAAGGATGCGATTCGGTTTTTATTAAATCCGATTCTGCTTCTAAAAGCAATGGAGCTTCTAATATCTGCCGTCCACTAACTAAAACGCTGTCACTTAGACAAATGGTCTAATAACCGTTTTATATACCAAAAAAACAGCACAAATTTCTCTTATATAAACAGTTAAAATTAGTTAACGTGTTCGCCTTATCGGAATTTACCCTAACGATGCCTAGCTGAAATGTTATTAAAATAACTTTTAAAATAAATTTTAATATTCTAAAACTGTAGAGCTAGCACGACAGGGTGTGACTTGCGCGAGAGCGACATAAAGCGCAAGATATGGATACGAGAATAGCAGTATCTCATCCTTCATGTCGCTCTCGCGCAAGTCGCGCCCTGCTGCTAGCTCTACTGGGTTATGGATTTTAAGATATCTCAAAAAAATATTTTGTCACTAAGTCGCGTTTTTGGTTAACGGACGGCAGATATAATCTCAGTATTACAATGACCAGTGGTTTCAAAAAAATTTGTGTGTTTTTATTGAATATCACAATGTTCACCATCATGATATTCAATTATTTTTTTGTGAAATCACTTCACTAGTTTATTATAATTACTAAACACTTGGAAAAAAATCACTTCGATCCGGTTGGATTAGAACCAACGTTACCCAGCTAAGCCGCAGAACGAATCACTGGACCTCACAAATTTTTCCATGTACTTATTGCCGATCTTAATTTTGTTTTTTAATGACTTCTACTGCTAATTTAAAATCATCTCAGTTGTATGTCGATAGAATGACAATGGCAGGACTTTGTACGTTTGGTATTCTGCTAAAACTTATGAGTAGTGGCTTGCCAGTGGTTAGCCATCAAGTTACCATTGAACTGTCATTTAAATTTTTTGGTATTCTGATCTTCAATGGCGAGTCGATGGCGTAGTCTACTAATTATTTGACGTCTCTTTCGATGGGTTGTCGATGGCTTATAGTCATCAAAGAGCCATGAAGGAATTCACGAAGACTTGGCAGTATGGTTTTGAACCTTTGCCTTCGAAAAAAATGAGAAAACAACAACAAATAGTGAATAATTAAACACTTGTTTGTTTCACTCAAGCTTTGAAGTATATCGTAGTGATTACATTTTGTTTGTAGTGAGTCAAATACTGTTAAAAATCGAATCGCCCAATAGATGAATGAATGGGAACGTATCCCTTATGAACATACGTATGATCAGGATTTAGTTCTATCAATTGTAGAGCATCTTATACTATAGATAATAATGTTTTATTTTCTCTCACATCAGATAGGTACATAGTAATAGTTCAATTTTGTGAGAGATAGGAGTCTAAACTAGAATACCCTGTGTCTTAGGTCTCCTGGTCTCCCTATCTTGATTGTACAGTTTATTTACTCTACTTAAAGTGTAGTTAAATTACATTACACTAAACCACTTCTTATTAATAACGTTAGTTTAATATATAATATAGATATAAACATATTGTTCACAGCAAATTTACAACCTACATGGGTCACATTCGCATAAAACATCCTTCGGACTTTGTTTGTCAGCTGTGCGGATATTCCTTTGTAAGCGAGAAAGGCATCGAGCTGCATAAGAAGTTGAAACATAGACTGGATACCGACGAGGTAAAACAAACCTTATTTCTAACTCCTTAACGGTGCATTTGTTATCGTCACCAAAGAATCACCTCTTAAAAGTTCCACGACCAAATAATAAAAAAATGTTTCGCTCTCAATTAATTATTACCTTACCGTTCTTCCTTTTCCCCGAAGGTAGTCTCGTAAAGATTGCTATCTAGCAATAAGGCCACCTGTTGCACATTAACTTACTACTACTATTATACTTAAGCTGTTGTATGGTATTTTAACTGCAATTTTATATGCAATAAAGAATATTTCATTCATTCATTAAAATACTTAAAAGTTTATTTTTGGTAAATATATTATGTAAAAAGTCAAAAAAGAGTTACGTCAGAAACGTTTATTACTCCATTAGGCACAGAAATATATAACCCACATCCTCTCCAATCCTTGTAATTCTATCGACTAATGTTGTAGATAGAGTTACAAGAATTTGAGAGGATGTACGTTACATTTTTCTCTATCTAATGGAGCATGCATAAGAAGAGAGCAATAAACATGTTTGACGTTACTCCACTTATGCCATTCTTCCATGAGGGGTTAGTATTTTAAAAATTACCCAGTATAATTATTTATTACAGATACCTGAAGATGGGCCGTTTTGTGAAATGTGCAATGTTAGATTCGTTTCAACGGAAGCTCATAAACAACATCTGAGGGTATCGGCTAGACATAATACATCGGACAAGTAAGTATCGAGTTCCAACGACGTCTATGTACTAGAGTACTTTCTGCGGCATTCCATACACACGCTTTGTTTCACTGGCGTGCGGTGAAGACACAACACTTCAATATCATAGATTAATCAGCAACAGAGTGTTCTGACTACACAATAATAGAGTAGGGATAATATGAATAAAATACTATGGTTACCATTAAATTTGAAAACAGCATCAGTTCTCGCTCGCACACGCTCAGCGGGTAGACGTGTGTATTTGTTTCTTGTATAGTGAACTGTCTTTGTAAAATATCGACAAAAATGGTGCAATGTAAAAAATGCAAACTGTTCGTTTCGGCATCAAAGGACGATATAGTGAAATGTAAAGGGGAATGTGAAGCAATATATCATAGAAAATGCGTAAAAAATCTGAGAGTTTTTTTGAAGAGGGAAATGTGTAATGATTGTATTCAAAAGGAAGACTGCAACTTGCCGGGCAAGGAAGGAGAAGTGTCGGACTTGGATAAGACTCCTGCGAAAGGGGTTCTTGCAGGTATCAATAGAAAATTAGAAATTATATACAAATTGGAAAAACGTATTGAAGAGTTGCATGAAACGGTGGACTTTTATTCTGAACAATATCAAAAAATGATGGAATTTAGGACCGAGACTGAAAAAAAATTAAAATCTTTAGAGCAGAAAAACGTATACTTAGAGAAATGCAACAATGCCTTGGAGGAGCGAGTCATGTACTTAGAGCAGAGAGACAAGGAAACCAATCTGGAAATTATAGGACTACAAAAACTAGAAAATGAGAATGTAAGAGAGGTGGTTTCTAAAGTGGCTCAAGTATTGAAAGTAAGTACAAATGATATCGAAGAAGCGAGGCGGGTAGGAAAAGAAAAAAATAAGGAGGGTATGCCGCAAGCAATTATGGTCAAATTGCGCTCAAAAGGGGCACGAGATCAATGGATGAAAGCCCGCAAGTTGAAACCTACTAATGGCGATGTATATGGCAACAAAAACATAAGCCGAATATATATTAACGAAGACCTACCCAGAGTAAAGCGAGAAATTTTCTGGGAAACTAGGAATCAGCTGAAAGGATTATTTGACTATATTTGGGTACAAAACGGCAATATATTAGTAAAGAAAAATGAAATCGACAGTAAAATTCACAATGTTAGATCATTGTCATATTTAGAAGTACTAAAAAAGAATAAAAATCTAACAAAAACAAAACTGTCTAAGTGCGGGTAGCACGGTGGGAACACACTACATGATTTGGATTTCTGCAAAATAAATGGATAGTGTCGGACAAGATGTAGACTTATCATTTACTAGATACGAAAATTTCAACCAATATGACGATGATAGTATTGTGCAAAAGGGTGCATTGAATATAATGCATTTAAATATAAGATCGTTAAGAAAAAATTTTAACCAGTTTTTGGTGTTAATTAGTCTGCTGAAGCGGCCAACTGATATTATTATTTTATCTGAAATCAACATTAAACAAAGTGAGGTTGCAATATACAGTATAAAAGGCTATGAAATATACTCATATACGAGAGAGGAAAGAAAAGGAGGAGGGTTAATTATATATACCACAGAAAATCTCAACATCCGCTTTGAGACACTAAACACTGGGTCAGCAGAAATCATACATGGTATGTTAAATTCGAACGGAGTAATTATGCATATCATTGCGGTCTATCGACCGCCGAACAAAAAGAAAGAAGTTTTTATAAGGGAAATTGAGGTACTACTGGGAAAGATGCCGGCAATGGATAATATTGTTCTTATCGGGGATATAAACATTGATGTCTTAAATAGCAAAATAAAATCAACTACAACGGAGTACAAAAACGTTCTGTGTGAATTGGGTCTGCAAAGTGCTATACCGGATACAGAGATAACACGGGAGGCAATAGTGAATGGGCACATTGAGACGTCGTGCTTGGATCACGTATGGGTGCGAGTGAGACAGACGCGGCGGCAACACGTGCGCGCCACTGCGTTTGTTATTAACTGTTGTGTATCCGATCACCACGTAATAGGAATTTGCTTGAGTGGTTTACTGTCAAAGAACTATATCGAACAGGGTAGTCAGGTGCAGCCGCGTTTTTATATGTGCCAACGTTTGGTGAATCAAGGACTTGATGCGTATGAGTGGAATAATTTAATGGAGATTTCCTGCCCACTATTATTGTACGATAAAATATGCAGTGTATTTGAGGATGTTTATTTAAAAAGCCGTAAGTTACTGGTGTATAACAAAAAGAACCATATCAAACAACCATGGATGGACAAACGCTTATTCTGTATGATTCTAAAAAGGGATAAATTGTTTCGTATTTGGAAAGCAACGCCTAAAAATATGAATAAGCGTTTGGACTATACTCGGTTTAGGAATAAGGTAAATAGGTTAATTAACTTTGCAAAAAATAGGTACAGAAGAGAACAATTAAATAAATGTAAGGGCGATTCTAGAAAAACGTGGGCGCATATTAATGAGTGGACTGGTCGTGTGAGGCCTAATTTAGACGCTGTTATAATGAAATATTTAGGTAAGACCGACAATGTGTATAATATATGTAGTAGATTTGCTACGACTTTTACAAAGGAAATATTGGAAATTAAACACTATTGTAATTTAAAATTTTTTGACAGGAAAACATATGTGATTGAGAGTAACGTATCATTTAGATATAAAAAAGTAAACGCGTTTCAGGTGGAAAGAATTATCAGAGATCTAAATAGCCATAAAGCCCCAGGTGTAGATAAATTAAGAGTACAAGACCTAAAATATATTAACCAAAAATTGAGTCCCATTCTAGCCAGGTTCATTAATATGTGTGTGTCTAAAGGGGTTTACCCTGAGAAGTTAAAAAAAGCTTTCATACGACCTATACATAAAAAGGGGAGTTATGTAGACTATGCTAACTATAGACCTGTGGCAATATTGTCAGTAGTCAATAAGGTTATGGAAAAGGTAGTTGTTGGCCAGATAACACGGTTTTTAGAACAGCATAATATCCTACTAGACGCACAGCATGGTTTTAGAGGGGGCAGGAGTACTGGTACTGCTCTTAGCTGCTTTGCCGAGACCATTAACACAAGCCTTGATGCAGGTCTTCAGGTTCTTGTCCTTTTTATAGACTTTAAAAAAGCTTTTGATACATTGGACCATGATATTTTGCTTCAGGCGATGAATGAGTGTGGAATAAGAGGGCCAACTAATGACTGGTTTAGGAGCTACTTAAGTAAACGATCTATGTGCACAGTTATTGGGGGGCAAGAGGGTAAGGTTGCCGAGATCGAACTGGGTGTACCAACCGGGTCTGTGTACGGACCGGTCGGTTACATTATGCACGTCAATAGCGTGGTCAACATTATCAAACGGTGCCAGGTGTATATGTATGCAGATGATATGTGCCTTATATACGCATCTAAAAATGCACAAGATCTGAGTACTAATATGCAACATGATTTAGAAAATGTGACCAAGTGGGCGCATGATAACGGAATAATTATTAACATGGCTAAAACTAAATGTATGCATGTACACTCGCCTCATAATCGTGTTGCTAAATCAGTGGACCGTAGGGTTTTTAATATGGTAGGTCATTCTTATGAATGTTTACATAATGATAAACGTGGATGTAATTGTCAGAATATAGAAATGGTGAGCAATTTTAGGTACTTAGGATTAGAAATTGATCAGAATTTAAATTGGAAAACCCATATTGATCATGTTTGTACAAAGCTAAGATGCATTATTAGTAAGCTTTATCAATTAGTCAATATTTTAGATAGGCAGACGTTGCTAATGGTGTATTATGCATTGGCTGACTCGCTGATTACCTATGGTTTAAGTATTTATGGTCGTACTTATAAAACTTATATTAAAAACATCAAAAACATTCAATTAAGAATTATTAAAGTCTTGACAGATAAAAACACCAGGAAAAAATTTAAAGACGATTATGAAAAATTATTTAATGTATGTAAAATATTACCGGTAGATAAAAAAGTTGAATTTGTGATAGCCCTTGAAAATTATTACAAAAATCACGACAATTTATTAGTGTATAACAGGTACAATACAAGAAGAGTAAGAGAAAGGAAACTAAACAGATGTAAATTTAAAAACAATTATGGAAAGAGAACAGATAAATATATTATACCAACAATTTATAATAAAATAGATTGGCTGAGAGATAGAAGCAAAATTAGTAAAAAAGTATTGAAAAACAGATTAAAAAATTATTTACTAAACAATGTAGTAGTATAATTTAGGTAAATTTTTATATAATTATGCATCATGTTAAGTTGTATTGTGTAGCTTAATTTTAAGTGTAATAGATATACGAATAGGATTAATGAGCGTTGTCTTGCCAACAACCTGATGTCCAGGTTGGCAAGGTATATAGTATAGGAACAAGCTGTATATCTATGGATAAATAAATAAATAAAATAAATAAAATAGTACTAAAAAAACCGACCTCAAAAAGTCATTCATCCCCTGGTTTGCCACCCTTAGAGGTGGAATATTTTCTTCAAATTTAAATGGGACCACATTTGAGGTACCCTCTTTCCAACAAAAAAGAATCATCGAAACCGGTTCACAAATAAAAAACATACAGTTGAATTGAGAACCTGTTATTTTTTTTTGAAGTCAGTTAAAAATATAAAAAAGACCATGCTGCATGGTGTAAAGATCTTTGCCTTTCCGCAAGGAAAAGTACACATACAAATATAACATCAATATTTTCAACAACTCGACAGTATTTTTTTTACTTCATTTTTTTTCTTTTTAGTAATATAATAATTATAAATAGTAAGCGAAAACCCCTGGGTCAAGGCAAAATGAAATGTATTGTGTAAATATCATTCGTAAACACTCAGTATTAACTGCCTATCTAACTCATTCCCAATAGAAATAGACTGTATCACGTCTGTCCACGGTACGACGGTACTGATTACTCTTTGACAAAATTCAACAGTAAAACAAAACATCACTATTGATAGCGTTTTGTTTGGAACATGTAGATGCTGTCAATGTTCTTGTCTAGAGATCGAAGTCGTTGGTTTTCGCGCATTTTCCTGGTAAAGTTTTTTTTGGTCTTTCTTTTTTTTGGTCACTATTTATTGCCTTAATTTTTTTTGTAATATCTAGTGAGCCTGTCCATAACAGTTGCAGTGCCATTCAGAGATTTAAATCGCAAAGATCGTATGGGCACCGCCACTGCACCCGTCACCCTGAAACATAAGTTGACAAGTCCCATGTGCCTGTAATTTCACCAGCACCCTTACCCTTCAAAACCGGAACATAGTAATGCTGACATTACTGCTTGGCGGCAGAAATAGGTAAGGTGGCAGCACTACCCTGGACGAACTCTTTCACAAGGAGCTCTACTGCTACTAACTGCTCATGCTACCAAATGTAACATGGTCATTTTATCTAATTATAAATCAAAGCTGTTACATCTACTTAATTTTTTTTACAGGGAATCACGCGAACCAAATAAACCTAAAAAGGGTAGAAAATCAAAAGAGGCTAAAGAGAGGGAAAAGAAAGTTCGAGAAAAGAACAGCAAAGAAGATTTGGATGATGAAAAGAGACGGATATATCCTAGTCAGATGCGGAAGGCAGAGGGACCTATACCCTGTGAACAGGTAAATAAAGAACACTATTATATTTTTTTAAATCTAAACCCGAAATCATAAAAACCACTAGATATTAAGAATAATTTTAATGAAAAAAAAAAATCGGTGACAAAATTTGAAAAGAGCAGTAAGTTATACAAATAAGTGTTGGGTAATTTTCCAAAAAAATTTTGATAGTGGACTTTTTCCGGATAAATTCCCGAAAAATTGGAAAAATTAGAAAAATATAATTTCGAAGGCTCGTATGTTCAACGTTTAGAAATATCTTTTAAAGCTTAAAAAAAAAGTATAGCTAAAAGCCATCTAAAGTAAAACGAGATTTAAAATGATTTCAGAACTGTGAAAGGAACCTTTTTAATGCCTCTTCCGTTTTCGTTCAGTATCTTTCATCTTTGTTCAGTATCTCTATCAACTTTTGACAGACATCAACGTCAAATGTGGAAAATATCCGAAAAAAAAATTTTAAAAATTGTGAACAATATTGACACCCGATGATTAAAACACGCCGTTGCTATGGCAACAAGAACAGTGTGGGGGCAGTGGGTGGAGTCAGCGCGCGAGTTTATGTATTTGACAGACAACAAAGTATTAAACTAACGCCGTAAACTAACGTCGACTAGACAAATCAGCGCCGATCGCTCAATTTTATTTACTGTTTTGAGGTCACCACGCGTTAGAAATTATTGGGAAATATTAACATAAAAAATCTTTGTATTAATAATTATAGCGAACGAAATTTTATTCACAATTTTTAATTTTAACTTTGTTTTTGACAGTGTGGACTCCAACTGGAAGATTCTCGAGCATACCACGGCCACTTCAGACGAATGCACCCAGACAAGAATCGAACCAACTACCCTTCGATGAAGTCGCCTTGCATGTGCGAAGTTTGCGGAAGAATGTTCCAGGTACTTTAATACAAGCTTTTGCTCTGCATTAAGCATTAAGGGCAGTAAATAAGAAATTACAAAGAACAGTTTGTTAGAAGCCCGAAGCCGAAGGCTGAGGGCTTTAATTACTCGAGTTTGTAATTTTTACCGCCCGTGCTAGATACAAAGTTTTTCATCACATGTGTGAGGAAATAGATACAACGGTAATTTATTTTTTATGTGAATAAATATCGCTTCACAATGCCACATTAACGGATTTTGCAAATGTCTGGTATTTAGATTTTTTTTAAAACATTTTGCCTTCTATTCTTCCTTAGATAATACAACTCGAACTAAAATGTTACAAAAGGCACAGATGGAAGTAGCCACAATTTATTAGATATAAAATAAATAATTTTCAAATTCTAAAATTACTGCAGAATTTGAATTCACAAAATAAATTTAGTAAAATATATAAGTTTATACGAAGTATACGTTCAGATTTTTCGCCCATAAACAGTTTGCTTAATCTTGACGTAAGAAAATTCATAGGGCAACAACGTAATGAAAAAGCCCATGGGCATAATTTAGGACATTACGGTCGACTTTTCCTGCACGTCATGGCACTGTTTACGAGCAAGTGTGATGGAAAATAAAAAATGGACTGTATTACAATAGAGCTGGTATTTTCTCTTATATTTACATACGTTATAGAAAGGTTGACCGTTCTCGGTGGCTATCGATAAGACGAGTGCCTCTGCCACTAGAGATGGGCTACCCCGGGCGTTTTAGCTTTATTAACGCCTGGTTTATTTATTTATTTATTTATTTATATCGGGTTAAAATCCATTAACGCCCAAAATCGAAGGCAAAATCTATTTACAACTAAATATGTGTTGTAAATCGAGTGTTATTCGAATTGACGATTTTATTGTAAATATTTATTGCTTTCTGATCTAGAAGATTCGATTTGCCTGTGTATTGAATCAGTTCGCTTGAAAATAGCATTTAAATAAATCGATTCAAAGAATTGTTGGATTGTATAAACTTGAATCGATTTTCATATGTCCACATAGTATCCACATTATTGCAAGATGGTGGTGGAAATTGCATTTTTTAGTCTAAAAAAAATATTGTTTACATCGTAATTTGTAATAAGTATGCAAAGGGGACAAATTGTTAACGCCGATAAATAAGACTCCACTATTTGTGTAAATCAGGTTTTTCTTTAGATTTTTTTTCAATAATCAGAAAATAAAATATGGCATTTTCCTTAGAACAAAATAAAATCAATAAATAATAAACGTCAAGCCATCGTAGCCAGCAGCCCAAAGAGGCGCTAACATCTGCTAACCTAAGTTTTAAAAGAACCATACTTTCGATCTGAAATTCACATCCAATATCTCACAATATAATTACAAGACAAATAACCAAAACAATATAGCAAAAGTCTAAATTTAACAACTACTATGGCAAACATCTGAATATATTGTACCAGAACAAATTAATAAATTACATAAAGAAAGTCGTGATGAAATCAATCCTAAAAATATCAAAATCATACTCAAAACATACTTCACATACACAGACACATAATGTTCAGACGCTAATTTTTGTCATAAAAATTTACCCTTAATTAATGTCTATTTACATATAGTAATAATACATATTATTTATAAATACTACATCTGCATATACTCTATATACTCACTATAAAATATATACATTTAAAATTTAACTTATTCTTTACTTAATGTGCTAACATTTGGAGCATCCTGTACACTTGTTAACAAACCGGTTTCCGGACGATTCGCTCAGCATCTAGTCGAATAATAAAATACGTTGCGTTTTCATTTGTTGTACAAATGTATGCCTCCAAATAAAGATAAAATCAATGTCTACCTACTTAGATTTTTTTTTGTATAAGTTCGTTCGTAGCAGAAGGAAAGAATGTCATCGAGACAAACCCAAGTAGGGTTATATTTATGAATACTTTTTTCTTTATACAATAAGATAAATAGAAATAAAAATAATAAAGCCTCGAGAACAAAAAAGGCTGCTTCAGATTTGGGTAAGACACAGCCTGCAGACGGCTCGATATATTAGTATATTATATGCCAAATTCCGTATTCGCTGTTTCTGACCACGACAATGGGTTAAAACTGGCGCTTTGGGTAAAAACCCGGGTGTGTTTATTGGGGTTTAACCCATTAACCATCTCTGGCTACCGCTCGTTGCGTCCTCTCGCACATCTCGTCCAGAGCGCGTAACAATAGCTTTGTTGAATTACTGTAGCGTTATGTTTTCTACTGTACTTTTGTCATTAAGCACACCCCGGACACTCCATACGATAGTCGAAAGTTATTTACCTATTACTACATACAGCAAGGCGCTATCTGCACACGTGGAAATGTGTGCGTGAAGTGACAGGGTTACCAATATTGTTTGGTTAGAAAAATAAAGAAAATAATAATAATAATTCATTATTGTCAAAAAGCCGTTTTTGCCATGTCTATTTAATGCGTTGTTATATTATGATTTCACAGAGTTACGCGCTACTTAAAGATCACCGTTGGACCCACACAGGAGAGCGTCCGTTTAAGTGCGACACGTGTGGGAAAAGTTTCCGCATGAAACAACGACTTGTCGCGCATCGGCGAGTGCACAGGTAAGTCAAATTTATCACCACATTTAGCCACACTAAGTTTTCTCCTATAGCACTAACATATGGTGTCCTGTCCGTGCCTTCTTGGGCGCCCTAACAGTCTCTACTTAAAGATAAGTTTTAACAACTAATTCTTAGGGTCTTATTCCAGAACTCTACTCAATACTCAAGTCAGGACATGAGTATTGCAGTGAGCACTGAAAATCATACTCAAGTCCTTGCCATTAGTGTCGTATTTCCAGTGCTTCAAATCATACTCAAGTCTGCTCAAATCCCTACTTGAGCATTGAGTAGAGTTCTGGAATACGACCCTATGTGTGTTTATATCAATCGGAATCTTATTATAGCCTAATAATCTTGTGGGTGCTATGGACACACACATAGACAACCATAAATTACACCCAAACTCACGAGAGAAATAACTGTAGGCCATACAAATATTTCTCCCGGCTCGAGAATCGAACCTGGGACCTCTGCGGGACAGGCATGGTAACCATTCGGCCACTGAGGCAGTTGCCTATTAAATGTCCCTATCTACTGATCCGAGAGATAAGGAGTTCCGGGAGACTACGGGCTCCCCGGTAAGACCAGGGTATAGCGGGCGTCCGGGCCGAGCCTTCCGCCAGTGATACGCCTTCACGGGCGTTTCTGGCGGACCTGGACTAGTTGGGGTTTGTGGTTAGCTGCAGTGACGAACACGTTCGGCTGCCCCGGTGGTGTGTGACCGGGGCGTTTGTCTCGTAGCGGTCTAGAGAGACAACTATGTCCAGACATTGTCACAGGACACTGCTACCGGCATCTCCGGCACTAGCCTGGAGAGCTAGTAGAGGATGAGCTAGACATCCTCCGGTCACTCTAGCCGCGTAGGAATTTGAGAACTGGAGAGATGCCGTTTTTCGGCGTCGGGAATTGAGCGTGCCTTACAGCTCCTCTACCAATGAGGAGATTTGGTAGTCGACCTAGAGGCGGCTACTCAGTAGTGGTAACAGTTAGTTTCAAAGAGCGCGACGGGAAGTGAGCGTGCCTATAGCTCCGGCTACCTATCTGCAAAATAGGGAGGGTGCTGTACGTGCTCCCGGGGCGGCTCACCTAAGGCCTTACAGAGAACCGGATGAATCTGTGCAAACTGACAGATTTGGGGTTAACCAGACAGATGGTCCCTGTGCGGTCTTGCTCCAGGAGGGGGACTATAAATAAAACTTGTGTAGAAATATATGGGACTGCCCCTTAAGTGAATTTGAGATTGTGAAGACTACTGTCAAGAAAGCTAGTTTATTGTTGTTTCTCGTAATAATGTTATGTCTGTCACAGTTTTTCGTGAGAAAATTAATATTTTTCTTTAACATAAATAGCATTTTCGTAAATGTACTGTGACGTTAGTGTTAGAATGTTAATAACTTTAAACTTATTTCTTAAAGATACTCTGAGGCTTTCTGCAAGACAACGATTCTATTATTGTCGGCGGCGTTACTGCAAAGTAAAATGCCGTATGTTATTAAAGGTGTGAAAGTAGCTTAAGTAAACCAGTCTAGACGTTTTTTGGATAGAGTGTTCATATTTTGTGTAATAATTTTCAGTGCCATGAAAGCAAGTTACGTGTGTAACTTGTGTGGAAAACACTTCTCGACTCATAGCAACAGACAGCGGCATATGTTTGTGAGTATACGCTATTTTGAAGATTTTAAACTTTCCTTTACACTACATTTTTATTGAATGTCAGAATGTTTCGCCACCATGGCATTCAATGCAAGAATACAACGCAACTGATTCAGGTCGACCATAGATCAGGTAACGTTCTTGTTCGTAAGTTTCATTTTAAGTATGATTGAATGTTTACCTACCTGAAGTAATGGTTATTTTATAGTACACATATAAAACATTAACGCTATAAAATATCTAATGAAATAATCTATTAGACAGTAATGACATAAAGCAACAAATAAAACACAACGTAACAAAAATATTTAGACAATTTAAATGAGAGATAATGAAAGTTGCAAAGGAACGTTTTGACAAGAGACTTCTTGCCAATGTCACATTGTTTTTTTTTAAATTTATTAAGGCTTTGGCAAAGCCATCAGCCTAAACATGAAGTTTAATTATGTTTCTGTAAATATGGCCGCCACAAAGAGGATAGGCAATTTTAGGCGGCGTGCATGGATTGACTCGGGATTCCTTAAAACGGGCCGATACGGGTAGTCTAGTTCGAGATTCGTATAATTTCGCGTTTTAATCTTAGATTAGGGCACAATAGCACTATCCTATTCCACTTTAAATTTCACAAAATAATTGAAAGTCAAAATAAAAACGACACTTTTCCCT